CACATACTGGTTTAAGAAAAATGTTACCAGTTACACAATAATACTAACAAATAATGCTATGGAAGTATAAATATGAAACTGAAGACAAAACAACTTGATGAGTGAATGTATACTCAGACACTGCAGACCTTGGCCAGATAATCCTCCACCCTGCTGTTCGGTCTGTCAGCAGCTGAACTTAGAAGGGAAAGACCCAAACTAAAGTTCCTGTTCGGGGGCCCAAGTGTGGCCCCATAATTTTCCGGAGAATCCAGAGAGCTCAAGTCCAGTGAAGGCCCGAGGAGGCTCCTGTTTGTGATGAAAGACCTGCTGTGCTCACTGAGCAACTTGGAGTTGGCTTCTGAAAGACGACTATTTGCCCTGTGGAAAGAAAAAAACATGAGCTTTGTCTGTCTGGTTACATCTTCATAACAGTTTGACAGTTGAAAACATGTCCCCAAACAATGTGTCATGAATGGTAAATGGTAAATGGACTGTACTTTTATAGAAACTTTCTATCTAGTCAAGACACTCGAAGCTCTTTACACTACAACCTGTGCCCTCATTTACCCATCCATACAGCACTCTACTAGATCTCTACAAAGATAATCTGAATCTGTAGACCAGAGCCCTATAAAGAGAGAGTGCGACACTCCCATAGACTCCCATAGAAAGAATGGAATGCGGAAGTCACGTGGGTCATGAAGCGGCAAATAGTTCCAAACAGCAGCGGTTCAGCATTGAACTTAGTTCATTCTTCGTGTTTTCTCCGGTAAGTTGATGAAAATACGACACTTTTTTTGCCATTGTGAAGCGTTATCTGACTGTTCTGTACCACAATTTATCAACATTAATACTTCATGTCACCAGTTTTAGTTAATGAAACATGTTAAATTAAACATGTTAAATTGTTAGTTGTGTTTTAACTGCAGCTGCTCTGCAACATGACGGTTTAAACGGGTCTATTTCTAATTCAACATTTTAAAATATCTATTACTGCTTAAATTTTGAAAGGTGGTCTTTTTAAATTTATGGTAATTCCAGTTACTGAACTCAACTAGAGAATATTTGGCCTTTTTTCCTGAGAGATTCATTCAACCTTTATTTCTATAGGTTAATCCCATTGAGCCTCGAGGACTCATTTACAAGAGAGACCTGATTTAACAAAGAATGATGACAACATGACAACAAGACTGACGTCATTTAGTTCAAGTTATAGATCATTTGTCAAAGACTGCAGCATAAGTTGTGACAATATCATTAAAGAAAAACGTGATTGTGGAAATGAGTCAATTTGTTTCATGTTTTCCAGGTAAACCAGAGGAGAATGACTTCATGAACTGAATGTTGCATTCAAAGTATCAGAAAGGTACAAGATCTCATTTTCTGTCTTCTATTAATCAATAACAGCTGAATCAAGATGTTTGAATAAAATTACTTTAACACCATAACCTTCACAAAGTTGGTATTTACTGCAGGACTGTTCATTTACATTAGTTTTATATTATTAGTTTAGTGTTTGGTAATCATGGGTCAAATTGATATGAGACTCTTTGAAGACAGAACAAGAAGTGAGAATTATTACCAATAATATATCAGCATCAAAAAACTGTAGAAGAGTAAGAAAAAAAACTTATTAAACTATCACAGGTAACACTACATTCATGTCCGTCTTCATGTTTTTACATTGACTGAGTGGTGAGCTAAGACATGACCAGGTTGGTGGAACTTCCCAGGTCTCCTGTAAACTCCTGTTGGCCTGTAAACAGTTGTCCATCCCGGTGTCCCGCGCCAGCTTTGAGCTGAGCGTTTTTGAACTCGGACACTCTCCTACGGTTCTGTGCGCGCTTGTCTACCGCCCACCTCGTTCTAAGGACTTCATAAATTAATTCTCTGACTTTTTGGCTGATATCACACAGAGATACACTCACTTTTTGCTTATTGGTGACTTTAATTTGCATGTGTGTTGTCAGGAGAAGCCCTTAGTGAAGGACTTTCTGGATTTATTGGACTCTTTTGGCTTAGCTCAGCAGGTGAGCGGCCCCACCCAGGAACATGGTCACACGCTGGACCTCGTTTTAACACGCAATGTCTCTGTTTCTAATTTGAAAATCGGTGACAATGTTTTTTCAGATCACATGCCTGTATTGTTTGACTTCACCCCTGTATTATGAAATTCTTTATCAAAGGTTCGTGAACGATCGGCACCAGATATTCAGACAAGAGGAAAAATAAAACACAGAGACTGTTACTGCTAGGAATAATATTGTCATTTATTAACCTGCCACAGAAAACAGCCAAGCAAAGTCATGTACAGTTGGTACACTCTTAACACACAAATTGATATGAGTATCTCTCACCGTGACAAATGATCGGGAAGCCTTTCGATCCAAATGACAGAACTCACATCACCACTGCATGGCACCGCGCGCTGGTCCACACAAGACTTCCAAAATTCCCTTGCCTGTCACACCTCCTTTATACCTTTTCCCTGACCAGATCGCGTGAGAGCAGTGAAAAACAAGTTTGATGGTTACCAGAACAACGGATGAGGAGCTGGTGATTTATTACCAATAAGGAGCACTGTGACCGCAAAGCGGGCCAAGACCTTGAAGCCAGAAATACTCCTTAAGCTTTACAAAGCATTCCTAAAGAGGAAACACGCACCCCTCCGTCCCTCTGCAAACCATCAAAGAGTGTCCCAAATATTAACAAAGGCAACATAAATCATTCCCCCTTTGTCTTTGTGACATGTTAAACAAAGTACAATCCCTAATATGTGAATAACACGTTGTATAAGTGTGTTTTCAAACTACATGTAAATGAGTGTAAAATAAGTATAAATTGACATAAAAGCATCAAAATAATCATTCCTATATCAACCCCCCCTTGTCATACTGCTAAGACGTGCGTTCCTGCACGTACGTGTAGTGAACCTAGGCCCATGTCAAAACTGACCAGATGGACAGAGACTGTTATTTCATTGATCTGCATCCAGAAATACAGTTTGAGCCATCTGGAGACTTTCTTTCTTGAATTAATCAAGTAGAAAAGACAATTCTCTATGATCATTACTATTTTACAAATGTTTGATAATCAAATTGTGTTAGTTCACTCAATGTTTACAGGTTGAAGAGAACTACTCATTTTATTTACATAAACAGTAAGTAATGATTTTTATTCCTCATTCAAAGAAGAAATCAGGTTAATATGCATTTCTTGATTTTTCTGTCTTAAATGAGCAAATTTGTAAGTATGTTAAAAGTCAGGTTTCGGTCAACTAAAATGTTTACTGAGAAGAAATGTCATGTTTAATCTTCACAGAAGATAATCAGAGTAGAGGCTCCACAAAGTCTCGTTTTCTCCAATAATCTTTCTGTCTGTTTTTAAACTATCTCATTCTCTGCCCTTGACTTTTCATAACACCTTACATCACAAACCACACCTTTTTCTGGTCCATCGACCAATCAAAAAGCTCTCAAATGACCCGGAAGTCGACCCATTTAAAATGTGGCAACATCCCAGTTCAGTGAGTTGCTGCGCTCAGGAATGAGTTCAACATGAGAGTAACAGAGTTAAGGAGTAAAGAGTTCCAGAGTTTAACTCTCTGAAGAGAGTTCTGAAGGAGTTCAGAATTCTGACGAGACAGGATGCAGAGAGGATTTTCGGAGTTACAACTTCTGTTTGGATAACCTCGTACGACTCTCTAAGGGTTTGGCTGTCCTCATGGAGACGCTGAAAGAGTCAGAAAGGGACCCTACGCCGACGCTGATTTTATCATCAACCAGGTAGAAGGTTCTATTTTCGACCAAGTGTACCGTGGGCAAGCTGATTCCCCAAAGAGCGTGCACGTTTCTGGTCAAACAGATTAATTCCCTCACACATCTCTCTGTAAGATAAATCTCCATTTTCCATCTTAAACTCTCCCTTCTCCTAAAATCATTACAGATAATTTAGAAATATCTGAAGCAAAGTTCTCAATCACCGCCGTGTGATTGATGTCTGTGGTTCTGCTGAGAAGTGAGGACAATCGCCGTATTGTCCACTTTCTGTGAACTTGAAATTGTTATTGTTTTCATATTTTGCCAAATTAATGTAAATGTTTGATGTTAAACTTTGATTCTGCAAATAAATGACCGCATTCATTTGATGGGTCAAAGATAATTAACGTCTCTCTCGTTACATTTTTGTTAAACTCAACGCACGACATTTACACAGTCAGAAAGATGAGGAACTCGTGAAAAATGTATGAACATATGTCCAACTATGTCATACTACATACGCATACCATTAACCGTTTCACTGCTGCTCATTTTAATGAAGGTTTTAATTCTGAGAGGATCGAACAGTTCCCGGTGTCTCTTACCACTGAGGAGCTAACCTCTCAGTTCAACTCTGCCTGTTTAAATGTTCTGGACCGTGTTGCTCCCCTTAAGACCAGAAAAACGAAACTTAAATCAGAGCCTTGGCTGAATGACGTCACGCGAGCTGTTAGGCGGCAGTGTCGCAGAGCTGAAAGAAGGTGGAGGAAGGACAGGCTGCAGGTTTCTTTTCAAATGTTAAGAGAGAGTTGGCGTCACTATCAGAAAACCGTTAAAGCTGCCAAATGTAAATTATTCTCTGATTTAATTGTCTCCAACTCCCACAACCCCCGAGTTCTTTTCTCCACCCTGAACTCAGTTCTACACCTCAGTGAGCCTTCAACTCTGGAAGCCTCAACTGAGCTGTGTGAAAACTTCCTCCATTTCTTTTTAGAAAAAGTGGCAAACACCCGGGCACTCATTTCTCCGCCAGCTCATGATCTGTCCATCCCATCTCAGTGCGTGGCTGTGTTTGACCACTTTGAGCCCATCTCTCTGTCCTCTCTGGAGCAGGTAATGTGCAGCATGAAGCCATCTGGTTCCCCCTTTGATGTGGTCCCCCCTCGACTACTTAAGGAAGTTTTTCCTACCCTGGGTCCTTTTATTCTCGCTATTCTGAATAGCAGTTTATCCTCAGGTGTGGTGCCAAAGACTTTTAAACATGCTACTGTCCAGCCCCTCCAGAAAAAAACCTAACCTTGACCCCTCAGTCATGTCCAACTTCCGGCCTGTCTCCAGACTCCCATTCACCTCTAAACTACTGGAAAAAATTGTGGAGTCTCAGTTGAAACAGTTTTTGGGGGATCATGCTATCTTAGAGTTATTCCAATCTGGCTTCAAATCTCTCCATAGCACTGAAACTGCTCTACTGAAGGTTTTTAATGACATTTTCATATCCACAGACGCAGGTGATTCTGTGCTGCTTGTCCTATTGGACCTTACATCTGCTTTTGA